AGAGACACACACACACACACACACACACAATCATGAGCTTGACATTGATGAATCAGCCCATTTACAAGTAAATTGTACTGTGCAACAGAACATGGTAATGTCCCCCCTTTGGGAATGGCCTAAAGACGCTTCGATCAGTAGCACATCCCGGGGGGGGGGGGGGGGTCATCTGATTTTGTTTTAATTGAGACTAAAGTTGATGCTCTAGGTTAAATAAAAACAGTTATACTTACCATTTTGTGGTACAACAGTTATTTACTTAGCGGATAGAGAAAAAAAATGATGTTTGAACTCCGTTTTCTTTAAAAATTGAAAACAGCAGCACAAAGTTAGCATCGTAATATTATACTCCCTGCTGGGTGTTACACAGCAAAGGAAACTCTTCACATGCATTTTGTTCGACACAAATCAGTACAAAGCCCTTAGCAATGCAGATAGCTATTGGCTATGTGTACATGGTGTATTATTGAGTGAACTCGTAAAAAGAAATAATTGAGAAAAAGATCATAGTGTCTCTAGAAATTGACTGGCATAGGACATGTAACATAAGTGAGTTATTTGGGTGCTAGTTATCCCAATTTTGTACTGTAGTAAGTCAGTTGGTGTTGCATGTAAAGTCTTACTTATATATATGCTTTCTATGTCATGAGTTCATCTTCACTGCTGTCACTTCCAGAAACTGAAATCGCATCTTCTTCGTCACTGGTATCATAACAGAGGAGATGGTTTTCATCTTTGTCTTCCTCTCGCTCTATATCTGATCCTTACACGATATCAACCAATTATTGAGGGACCAAGTCTTTGCAACACCCCACTGATAGCACTCCACCGTTTCCTCTCTTCCAACCATGATCTTGCGAATCAGGTATTAATAGTTGAGCCAGATGTGCTTGCTTCCATATTAAAGTTTGATAGTTTGCCCGTAGGATGGGCAGCTTCAGGGCTTTTCTGCATGGTGGTAGCAAGCTGATGTCAAAACCATCAAAGCATGACAGTAGGCTTTGACATTTTGCCATGCACTTTAGCCTTACAAGGTCAGGACGAAGCGTGTTTGTGCTACAGTAAGCTGGTTTTCCGTACAGGTGACAAACAAACTTTCCCAGATTGGAAAACAGTTCTGAAGAAACAGTTTCAGATATTCCTAGCTCTTTGAATGAAACAGCAAACTCTGGGGGCTTTTGGAGAATGGTGAGCAGCTTCACCTTTCCTTTCTGGACAAAAGCGCTAGTCACATCACATCCAGAGAATGCATGGAGTCCAAGAATTGGATTCTGTATATGTGTTTCCATTTTGTCACAGAGTGTCTGAATGTGTAGACATCTTCTTTTGTTCCCAACCCCTTGTGTCAAAATACACGGCATCCTGTCCAAAATAATCACCTCTATAGATTAAATTATAAAAATAGATAGCATTTGAAGACCGCAGGGGGGGAAACGACGGTA